ATTCTCCTGCTTCAGCCTCCCAAGTAGCTGGGATTACAGGCACCCGCCACCACGCCCGGCTAATTTTTTGTATTTTTAGTAGAGATGGGGTTTCATCCTCTTAGCCAGGATGGTCTTGATCTCCTGACCTCGTGATCCGCCCGCCTTGGCCTCCCAAAGTGCTGGGATTACAGGCCTGAGCCTCCTCGCCCGGCCGGGCAGATCCACATTTATACAAATAACTATCACATATATGGTGAGAGTTGTAATAGAGAGGCATACAACGGATGCAGGAGGATATTATGAATGGAAGGGGGTGGTACAGAAAGTTGTGATATTTGGACTGAAGCAGGAGCAAGGGGAAGGCTTGAAAGAAACTATGGCAGGATACAGGAAAGAGATAAAGGACCGGACCAGAACAGCATATGTCAGTGGAGATGTTTCTAAGGCAGGAGGAAAATCTGGTAGGTATGAGGGGAAAAGGAAGGGAATAACTGAGAATCACTCCTGGGTCTCTAGCTCTACATATAACATGGTGTAAAGAAGTCTGGGTGTGGTGGCTCACACCTGTAATCCCAGCACTTTTGGATGCAGAGGTAGGAGGATAGCTTGAGCGAAGGAGTTCAAGACTAGCCTGGGCAATACAGTGAGACCCCATCTCTACAAAAATTAAAAAAATTAGTCGAGTGTGGAGGCAGAAGCCTGAGGTCCCAGCTACTTGGGAGGCTGAGGTGGGAGGATCACTTGAGCCTGGGAGGTGGAGGCTGCAGTAAGCCATGACTGCACCACTGCACTCCAGTCTGGGCAACAGAGTGAGACCCTCCCACTGGGCTTAAGCGATCCTCCCACCTTGGCCTCCAAAATGCTGGGATTACAGCCGTGAGCCACTGTACCCGGCCCTGGGGAAAAAAAATCTTAAAGAAATGTGAAAGGAAAATAAAAATGTTGGACCCCCTCGGCCAGGCACGGTGGCTCACCGCTGTAATCTCAGCACTTCGGGAGGCTAAGGCGGGTGGATCACAAGGTCAGGAGTTCCAGATCAGCCTGGCCAAGATGGTGAAACCCTGTCTCTACTAAAAAAACAAAAATTAGCCAGGCGTGGTGGCAGGCGCCTGTAATCCCAGCTACTTGGGAGGCTGAGACAGAGAATTGCTTAAATCTGGGAGGCGGAGGTTGCAGTGAGCTGAGATCGTGCCACTCACTGCACTCCAGCCTCGGTGAAAGAGCGAGACTCTGTCTCAAAAAACACAAAACGAAACAAACAAAAAACTTCGGGTTGGGCGTGGTGGCTCATGCCTGTAATCCTAGCACTTTGGGAAGCTGAGGCAGGCGGATTGCCTGAGTTCAGGAGTTTGAGAACAGCCTGGGCAACATGGTGAAACCCCGTCTCTACTAAAATACAAAAATTAGCTGGGCATGGTGGTGTGAGAATTGCTTGAACTCGGGAGGCGGAGGTTGCAGTGAGCAGAGACTGTGCCACTGCACTCCACTCTGGGCGACAGAGCAAGACTCCATCTCCAAAAAAAAAAAACAAACAAAAAAAACAAAACCAAAAAAAAAAAAACAACTTAGGTGGACCCCAATTCACTATTCCAAAAGGAAAAAATTAAGTTGAAAGCTGAGTCATGCAAGAAGTTGCCTTTCCTTTCATTTCTAAGCAGACATACTTGACATAATACACAATTACACAATTGACTATTCCCCTACCTGCTCCTTTTCTCTTGTTCCCTCCAGCCCACTTTTCCCCTTTAAATACTGAATCTCTCAAATTTATCTTTGGAGAAAGGCAGAGATCACAGACTGTTTCTGTGATTCTGTTTTTTTCTTCCGGGAAAGTCCTTAACCTTGGCAAAATAAATTTCTAAATTGATTGAGACTTGTCTCACTTTTTGGTTTACAGAAAGAATGGAGGATTCCAACACTTTTCAGTTTTCCTAGCCATCTAACTACAAAGGAGCTCAAAGCCAATTCTATTCCTGAAGTCTGGTACAGGAATATGCTGACTACTCCAGGAATCAGGAAGAATGATCAAAGTAACTTTAAAGCTCCCACCTGTGTGTTTTCCTACGACAGTAAGTTAAGGATTCCACAAAATCTGGGGCTTTGGGATGAAGTAATGTTAATTGCAGTAGAAAAGGAAACTTTTTTTTTCATTTGAGACAGGGTCTCACTGTGTTGCCCAGGCTGGAGTGCAGTGGCACCATCTCAGCTCACTGCGACCTCCGCCTCCCGGGTTCAAGCAATTCTCCTGCTTCAGCCTCCCAAGTAGCTGGGATTACAGGCACTTGCCATCATTCCTGGATAATTTTTGTATTTTCAGTAGAGGCAGGGTTTCACCATGTTGGTCAGAGTGGTCTCGAACTCCTGACCTCAAGTGATCCACCGCCTCGGCCATCCCAGAGTGCTGGGATTACAAGCGTGAGCCACCGCGCCCGGCCTCAATATTTCTTATTTAACCAAATATATCCCAACTGTCATCAATTTTGTTATAATTAATTATCCCACTTGTAACCATTTAAAAATATATATATATATTTTTTGGTACTAAGTCTAGGAAATCTGGTGTGTGTGTACTGTACACACACTTACAGCACATCTCAACTTGGACCAGCCACGTTTCAGAGTTCACTAGCCACATGCGGCTCCAGGAAGCGGAGCCCTGCAGAGGACCTGTGGCGTCCTCCCGCTTCACTAAAAGTTCCTTCCAGAGCTCAGCTGGCCCGCGACCTAGGCTCCGCCCCGCGCCCCTCCCAGCTTACATCACAGAGCCCACAGGCCCCACCCTCTGGTGGCCTGGCCCGCGTGCGCGCCCACTCTCGCACTCTCTCCGCTCCAGGGGCCCAGACTCTGAGAGACAGCGACGGCCATCATAGAACAGCGGAGGCAATCGATCGGCCTGCCGTCAGCTTCAGCATTCGCAAGCCGCAGGCAAGAAGCTCCCCCACAACGGCCCGCGGCTCGCGCAGCTCTGCAGAGAGAGCGTGGCAGCAAGGCCAGCACCCATTGGTCCGCCGTAGCCCTCCGCCCTCCCCCTCGCCACGCTTATTGGCCGGAGCGGCGGCGCCCGCCCGGT